CAAAAATCAACTCAACAAATTAGGTCCTATATTAAGAACCGAAAAAGTAATAATTTTATATCTAAATGCTAAGTTAAGGGCCCGTTTGGTTCAATTGCAAACCCCTTTGAGAATGTAACAGGACGCAATGCAATAGGGTGTAATGCAACAGTGATTACCATTAATATGTTTGGTTTGTTATCAATAGGATGTGCATAAATTATTTTTCATATTTAATCAGAATTATAAAAAGGTCCAAAATGTCCAAAAACTCTCAATTCTCGATCATCTTCTTCCTCAGCCAAAACCCCGGAGTCAATGTAAAACCAAAATAACAATCAGCATGTTTAAAAGGAGAAAGTTTGAGCAGAGAACATAACAAATTAAAAGGGAAGAAATATATGAATCGAGTTTTAAACATGGTTTCAAATCTTATAGATGAAACAAAATAAAAACCAAGATCTAAACCATAGAAGCATGAAAATCTCATGTTTGTCACAACAAATATTGATATGAACATTTGCAGAAAAACAGATCTAGAGGAAGATGTTCATAGAAAATAGATATGAAAGGGAGACGTTCATAGCTTCAAATGTTGATGGCCAATAATGAAAATGATGATAATGAAAGGGGGGAAGAAAAAGAGAATTGAAAGGCTTGTCACTGGGAAAAAAAAGATAGAGAGAAGGGCTGGAGAGGAAGGGAAAAAATGATGGGGCTAATTGTGCTGTGGGGGCGACTATCGATAATAGAGCAAGAGGGAGAAGACAATGAGAACAAACACAGAAGTGAATAAAACTTTTTAAATCATGCAATTAGTGGTGATGGGAATTCATAGGGGGTAGTATGAATAGGCATTACCAATTTTTTGGTAATAATCGTTATCATAGAAAACCTCATTACTAAACTAAAGAGCAACTAAACATGTTTTTCTTGGCGATGCAATTTTGATTATCATTGCAGTCTTACAATGAGATTGAATCAGATGGACTCTCATATCATGTGTATTAATATTTGTTCACGTGTAACAGAATAGCCGCACATATACCACGGCCAGCCCTAAACACCAAGGTTGTAAAGGGAATGTCTTGGCCTTTTAGTATAAAAGGGCTCTTTAAACTCGACTTTTTTTAAGATTTGATCCGGATCTTATTTTGCTCCTTTTAGCTAAGCATCTTGTCATTGCCTTATTACATGGTCCATATTTCGTGATATGTTTTTGTTGACATTTCAAAACTATTTAAGTTTCAGAGGAGGTAGGATGCATAATAAAAATAATAATAACAGAATAATTATATATATATATATATAAAGTAGTCTATCAAAATCATGATGCTTCCAAAATCTAACTACGCACAACATTTAAACAATCAAACCTGGTTTCTTTCTATGAATCGGTTGGATCTTGAAATGTGTCTAAATTCACATAGAATAAGACATTCATGTGCATCCAGCACAGGTTAAAAATTAAAAACTAAACATCTGAAAAAACATTTGCTAACTATCAAACCCAAATTTGATTTCTGGACCCAAAACGCCCAAAGGTACCCGGAGCCGGATCATCACTATTAAAAATCCGGAGCATATTCGGTTATTCCAAAACGCGGGTCTCCAGGGAACAGCTCGCGGGCTCCAGTGTCCCTCCGGCCTCCGTTATTTTCATTAGACAGAAATAGAGACGGGTGAATAAATTATTAAGTTTATTTTAAAATAACATAAAATATTAAATTCATCTATATTTAAAATTATAAATCCCATCTTAAAAAAAAATTATGCAACGCTCTAAAAGAAGTGTAACTTTGGGAGGGATAAAGTCATTTTTTTCCAGCCAAACCATCGTTAGGCTTTTGATTGCCACTCGGCCGAGGAGATTTCCAGTTTCAGGGCCTAAAATGATTTGTTTTTCCAAATCAATTTCTCGGGTAATTATGAAATGCTGCTAATGAGCGTGCTTATGAAGGGCTTCGACCAGCTGGCACATTGATATTTATTCAGGGAGGTGTTGCAGCAAATCCTTCTCCTTGGCTGGCCCGCAATTGCATGCTCATGCAGATCTTGGCAAATTTACCAAAACAAATTGCCGAGATCCTATATGGCGGAAAGATTTTGTCAAAATGCTACGCCTAACCTCGGTTATGGTGTGAACACTTGTAAATTATGAGCAACTCATCCCTGGCAAAGATGATTTGCTTCCTTATACCTCTCTTCCATCACATCATACCACTATATCTGACATTTGCTTTTTTTTTTTCTCTTTAATAATAAAGTGAAATCATTTACCAGATGAAGATGAATAATGATTTCACTTTTTCTTCTGCCTCAAGGAGAGAGAGAGGAAGTGAGAGGAATGCACGGTAAAAACTAAGAAGTGAAAAATGAGAATGATTAATGATGGCTAGGCCACAAGTGAGGCGAGTCTCTGCTCTTTGAGGACGGGGGTTTGAATCCTCACTTGTTAAAAAGGGTACCGGGAAGGGCTTTACTTGTCGCCCGGCCCGAATCCGGACTAGTCGATCGCTCGGGTACAACTGACCCAAAGAGGCTGGGGCCCAGAAAAGGCGCGGTTGGATACCGGATGGTTTATATCAAAAAGTGAGCCTGAAAAATGACAGAGGCCAAACTATCCAAGTTTCAATTTTGACTCTACTTCTTCTAATTATATGAATTTATTCCAAAAATAATTTACTTAAATGTAAAAAATATTGTATAGAAATGCTTTAAATTTTAATAATCAATGTTACGTTCAAGTCTATACGAAATCATAAAAAATGTAGACGTGACGATTTATTATTCAAGTTTTAATAAATACAAAAAAACGTTAACATAATTTACTACATATTTGGGCAAATACATTTTAATGGGCCGCTGCTTCATTAGAATAAGTGTTATTATTTATATACTGGGATTGAGTGTTTTCTTAATTTAAAAATAATTTCGTTCAATTATTTCTTAGAATAAATTCATACAGGTGAAAAAAAGTAGAGTAAAGAATGAGATTTGGTTAGCTTGATGTCTCTCATCTCTTGTGCTCACTTTAAGGAGTATTTTGATAAAATCAAACCATGGTTTGGAGAATAATTTTTGAGAGAAAAGTTATTTTTGAGAATAAATTCTGTAAAAAAGTGATTCTGATAAAGTTAAAGTGTTTGGATAGTTGTTATCAGAATGACTTTTTATATGTACAAATTACTAAAAATAATACAAAGTAAGATGATAATTACATAAAAGATAGATTTTATAATATATTTTTATTTGAAGTAATAAAATTTGTTAATAATATATTTTTTACCATACTACCTCTGGTCCTTAATATAAGACTTTGTTTAATTTTTATTTTAGTCCTAAATATAAAACCACACTCCACTTTGTCTTTCATATTTATGAAATTTTTTCCAAGATAGCCTTTCTAATAATTGTAGTTTTAGCCAACACATTTGATTAGTAAGGATATTTTAGAAAAGACAATACTAATTTATTACAGATAACTAACTTAACTTATATTCTTAATCTTCTCAAATTAGTCAACTAACTCTTATAATTAGAACCGGATGTAGTAATATATAAAAAATGTAATTGGTAAATAATTAATACGTGTATATGTATTTATCAAATATAAGATTAATATGTTTTAGAAAAGTATTTTTTTTTGGCCAACAGGAAGATATTATTCTGCCTTAAAGATTTTAAACATAAAATTCCATAACATTTTTTCACAACCAGTTTTTTTAACAACGTACTACTTCTAATATTTAATATAGTCCTAAATATAAAATCCCAATCTATTTTGTTTTTATATTTATCCATTTTTAAAGTAGTTTTTGTAGTAGTTATGCATGTTAAATATTTCATTAAATAGTACTTCTAACTACTACACATGATTAGAAAGAGTATTTTAGGGAAGACAACACTTATTTATTACAAATAACTAACTTAACTAATTTTCTTAATCTACTCAAATTAGTAAACTAACTCTTATATTAAAGATTAAAAATAGTGTTACAACATAAAAAAGGGACCATGCTTTCAAAAAGTTTTTTTTTTTTTTTGCTTTTCATGAAACCATGGTTTGGATGGGTCAAACCATAGTTTTGGAACCAAACTGTGATTTCATGAAAATATGGGGTGTTTGGCAATTTTTTGAGTCAAATCATGGTTTGGGTTTCAAAACTGATTTTGACAAGTTTGCCAAACACCCCCTTATTTTATTACCATTAATCTTATTCTTATTTTCACTTTTTATTGTTTGGAGGATGTGAAAGGGCTCTTGGGGTTTGACGGCAGGTGGGTAGAGCCAGTAATATGGGTTGAGCTTGCAGGCCCACCCTGTCAGCCCGTAAAAAATGGCAAGCTCGGATTGACAAAATGCCAACCAGTCAAGGTAGAGGCTACTCCAGCCGCATCGTTTTCAACCCGCTCTGTCGTGGGCTAGCCCGCTTTTCTTTCTTTCTTTTTTTAAATTTTTTTATACATTTTTAATATATTATACAACATAATTGTAGGATTCTGATAGTCAAATTCCACATTAACATCTCCTCAGTCATGTAATTGCATATGTAATATACACATAAAAATTTACTTAATTAATTTGGACAAAAAAATAGTCAAATTAATTATTTAGAAAACATATGTGTTAGATTTTCTAAAATATCTTCTCAAATTATAAATTAATCCTCATATTATTTTATTATAACCTACTATTCAAGTTTAAAACTCCAAGTTCAATTTTAACATTTCAATCTAAATTAACTTATACAAATAATAATATTTTTTTAAAAATATATTTAGGAGAATCGACGGGCTACTTGGCGGCTTTTGCCCGCCAAGATACAGGCTACTTCAGCCAGCACCATTTTCGGATATGGGCTGACCTGTATCCGCATCGCTAGCCCGCATTATTAGCTCTAACTTATATAGGAAAAAGGGACATGTGGCAAAATATAATTAGCCCAATTGACATAATGGATGTAAAGCACTGTACCTAGGTTTTGCCTGCATGTTAAATTAGCGCCACACATTTCTTCCATAAACCAGAGGGCGTATTCTCGATAGAACCGCCGCTGTAGCTGCTCAGTTTCTCGTTGGAGTTGCAAGAAAAACAAAACCATGGGGAGAAAATTCTTCGTCGGTGGGAACTGGAAATGCGTATGTTTATCATGCCAATGCCTTTTTTAACCTTCATTTGCACTTTCCCTCTACGTTTATTTCAATATCGATCATATTTGAGAGTGCTTCCTTTGCAGTCTTCTGATTATCATTTTGCCTTTTGAGGATGAGGCATTGACACAAGTTTGTCCCTTCCGTCCACGCATTTTTTTAATATTACTATCAGATCGCTTCTCCCATGGTGAACTGCGGTTCATTACTGTTTCGGAATCCATTAATGATCTGCGATCTGGGATTTTTTTAATATCTGGATTCGGGATACTATTTCCTTCCTCGAACACCATCGGGATCGAAGATCCTTCCCTCCAGATTTGCACGAACAAATTAAGCATTTCAGTGTTCAATGTTCTTTAAAGAATTAGTAATTGATTGGTTAAATCGACTTTGTTGCAGAACGGGACCAACGAAGAGGTGAAGAAGATTGTTACTACTTTGAATGAAGCTCAAGTTCCTGGAGAAGATGTTGTGGGTGAGTCGTAGTGAGCTTCTTCGGGCTTCTTTATTCTTGTTTGGCATTAGTCTGGATCTTAGATTATTCTGGGGATGCTAAACACAAAATTATCGTGCTTAACCGGAGAGTAGTATGTTCTGCATTTCACTTGTCCAGAGATGGAGCACTTCACTTCAATTTCTGCTTGCCCTTCAACATCTTCTCCCCTGTTTTCATTAATCACTAGCCTCGGAACAAAAAGCACCCCGAAATTTTTAACCGAAAAAACACAGTTGTCCCCAGCCACTGAAAAGAGGGCAAATTGCTCAGTTATCTCTATTTGCAATTCTTTCTTTATTGCTTAAATGAGTTCATCCTATTAATATTATTATAATTATATATAATTTTTTTGACCAAGTATTATAAATGCAATTGATTGTTACTACTTAATAAGCATGTTTTCTTTTTATTATTTTTACAGAAGTTGTTGTTAGCCCTCCCTTCGTATTCCTGTCTCTTGTGAAAAGTTTGTTGCGGCCGGACTTCCATGTCGCAGCACAAAATTGCTGGGTTCGCAAAGGTGGTGCTTTTACTGGAGAGGTCAGGTATGCGATAATTTTGTTCGTTAATTCATTAAGATATTTCCCGGATCAGTAATAGTCTGTAGCTTTTAGTTTTATCCTCTTTTTACTCCATGTCTTTGCACTGTCTAGATGCTCTGACCAGACCATTAATCAACCTGTGTCGTGTTATTTCTTTCCTTTTCTTAATGTTTTGGCCATGATGAAATGTCATTTTGATTTCTGTTATATTTGCAGCGCTGAAATGCTTGTTAATTTGGGTGTCCCTTGGGTCATTCTTGGTCACTCGGAACGGAGACAGCTTTTTAACGAAGCAAATGAGGTACAAAGTGCTATTTGTTTATGGTCTGTCATAAATATTTTTCTTCATGTTACAATTTGTTGTGTCTTGCGCTAATCTACTTCTCAGACCAACTTGTATTAGCAACCAGATTTAACATTTGCTAATTATATGTTGCTTTCTACGTCTGCGTTGTCCATCACAGTTTGTGGCCGATAAAGTTGCTTATGCGCTTTCTCAAGGTTTGAAAGTTATTGCTTGCGTTGGGGAGACTCTTGAGCAACGTGAGGCAGGTTCAACAATGGCTGTTGTAGCTGAGCAAACAAAAGCGATTGCAGGTACCTTTTCCTCCTCACCCTCCTTACACAAGGATTTAACATCCTAAATATTACTTAGCTATTTGTTGTGGGTGAACGTTTTGCTGTTCTGGTTGCATTAGGAGTGTGGGTCATCACTTCATTTGTTGTTAGTCCTCTGTCAATCAAAGCGTTGACCACGGACCTTAATTGTGTTTGCAGCTAAAGTATCAAACTGGGATAACGTTGTTTTGGCCTACGAGCCAGTATGGGCCATTGGGACAGGAAAGGTTGCAACTCCTGCTCAAGCTCAGGAGGTAAGTGTGTCTAAATAACATTACTCTTAGCACAGCTGCACAAGGTCTCCTGGTGAAGGAGAATGAACCCTTTTGGGTCAAGGCTGTTTTGCCTGATTTGGTTTATTGGACGTTTGTTTGTACCAGGTCCATGCCGAATTAAGGAAATGGATTCACAGCAACGTCAGTGCTGAAGTCGCTTCATCTGTCAGAATTATCTATGGAGGTATTCCTTATTGCAATTTACCCCCTGCCTTTGTCAGATGTACATGCGCAGGCATGCTTTATTTATGAGTTTTAATTTAAGGCTTTAGAGGAAGCTAAAGAAGAAAATTACCAGATCATACTTTTTTTGAGAAAGAAAAAAACTAAAGTTGAGGTTTTAATTGTTATGCTTTTTCACTTTATCTGCATATCATGGCGTTTTCCCCTGCGTGTAATAAATTTCGTATTCAACTGCCACATATTAACCGCAGGTTCTGTTAATGGAGCAAACTGCAAAGAACTGGCTGGGCAGCCAGATGTTGATGGTTTTTTGGTCGGCGGTGCTTCATTGAAGGTGATTATTTTCTTTCCATTTGGTCCATTAATTTCATGAAATGTCGAATTATAACACAGTGAAATGAATGGAAGAAAGTAAAACTAAGATAAAACTAGCATGCATGAAACAAAATAAAGTTTGAATGATGGGAGTACAATTAAGGGGTGAAATCGAAACAGGATAAAGTTAGAAGTGGGGCTACATTCAATGTTCTTGCGTGGTTCGTGATTTGCGTGTTCTCTGTAACTGATTTTTATCTTAATACTTGGTGTATGCAGCCGGAGTTCGTTGACATTATCAAGTCTGCCACTGTGAAGAATTGAATTTCGTAGGTGGGAAATGGATATGGTGCTGGGCTTGGAACTTGGCTAGGGTGAACACAGCACCCAAATAATTGCGATTTGCTTTCGCCACCATCCTCAAGCCATCAGATAGGCTTTGTTTAATGTCTTGTGTTTCGTCGTGCAAAAACTGTGTAGGGTAATTATTTGCCCCAACTTGTTATGATGCCCATTGTCATGGGATACTTAAGCATATCGGTTTACTGGTATTCTGCCTAATAATTTTATCTTGAGTGTATGACAGTACTGGGATAAGAATTCCTAGTAGTTTTTCATGAAGGGTTTTGATCGGATCACTTATATGCGCGCATTTTTTTTTCCTTTGGCCCGCCCCCTTTTTTTTTTTTGGTTTTGGGGGGGGGGGTTGTGTTGAAGAAAGCAGAATGGGAAATGAGACCGCCCCGATTGATGACGGATATAATATGTCGGTGTTATGGAGGCTGTCTTGGGCACCTAATCAATGCCATGAACCACGTAAGCTTGATCACTTATGGAATCACTCGTAGGTAGTGATTAACTAATTATAAGTCGGCAAAGGTGGCCCAAGGACGTGCGTCAATTCTGTAATGCGACAATTGTGCGCAGAAGGATAAGTATTAAACATGTAGACTGACAAAATCAGCTGAAGTATTTGAATGTAAAATAGGAAAATATTACTCCTCCGGTCCTTATTATAAGATCCCATTTGATTTTTTATTTGGTCATAATTATAAGATCCCAATCCATTTTGTCTCTTATATTTATGCATTTTTTCCAAGATAATTCTTGTAATAATGATAGTTTTAGCCAATACTTAATTAGTAAGGATATTTTAGGAATGATACACTTATTTATTATAAATAGCCAAACTTAACTTACTTCCTTAATCTCCTCAAATAAGTTAATTGGGTTTATAATTAGGATCGGAGAGTAATATTTGGAGTGGCGGCGGATAAGTGAGAATTAAGGGAAGGAGGCTTGGCGACATGTTGAAACTCGGAGAAATGAGGTTGAGGGGTGTCGCCACGCGGCGCGTGACACTTTGCTCATGTTCTTGTCCGTCTTTAAATAAATGGTCCTCCTCAATTTATTACACGTTCTAATCAGCCGCTTCCGTCCCATCCAAGTCCGACTGGCCTCCTCTCTCACTCCTTCCCATTCTTTTTGTATATGGATTGGATGCATTTGCACGTAGAGGTAAACTCGTACGCTGATGACTCCCTCTCTCTCTCTCTACATAACTTGTTTTTGAATACTCCATTCTATTCAAAATATTCAAAATATAAGATAAATTTTGTCAAAGGAGTTTAATTTTTTTATAAAATAATATTCATTTTTGTCTAGCTATTTAATGACTTTTTCCAATTTTATTTATAACATACATTTTCTTTCCTTTTTAATTTATTTGTTGCATTATTTACTTATTCTCTTTATTAATAAATTTATATTTTTAAAAAAATACACGTCTTGTGTATTTATTATTGTAAACTGATTTTAACTAATTTTAGATAAATGTAAATGGATAAAGTTTATTTTATATTTTGAATCGGATGGGGATCAAGCTATTGTCGATGAAAAATTACAGACAAGATAAAAAAAAAAGATTGTATAATTTCTTATTTCTTTGACATTAAGGATAGAACTTGGAATGGATGGCGATGGATGTACTCATTTTCATGATGCGGAGCTTGTGAATATTATTAATCCCACAATTCACGGATTGTATATCTGGAAAGTACAGATGGGGAAACGGGATCATAATGATCGCACACGTGAAGGGCGAAAAATATAAAAGGCCAAGTTGCCAAAAAAGAGAAATGCTGAAACGTGAGAGGCACAGGCGGGGGCGTTCCTGTGTGCCCTGTACCCTGAATGTTAACGCAAGTATAAAACAAGTGGCGCCTGCCTGCCAAAGTGCATTCCGGTTTGATCACCCCACGTACACTGAACTCCTCGTCTTAAAATTAGGAAACAAAAAACTAAGCCAAATATTAAACAATTGTGATAGTAATTTAAAAGTCGGTAGATCAGAATTAGATCCAATCAGATCAAAACGGTCATATTAAAATAATATAATTTAATTAAAAATAACAAAATACAACAATAATAATCACTAATAACAAAATACAATAAAATATAACAATATTTCCATTGTAACAATAACAAAGTATAATAATATTGAGAATTTTAATCTTTATGGTTTCTTAATAACTAAAATTAATAATTTAGTACCAAAATCATCGTTAAAATTTATTTAAATCCATAATGACTACTATATTAGGAGCGAAATGAGAAAAAAATATGATCAATGACAATATAATTATCCGAACCAGTTTTTACTGGTTTCACCAGTTCACCCTTGGTTTGATCGATTTGCCACCGGTTTGATTTGTCGTTGCTTCAGTACTTAAACTAAATCGGATCACTGGCAGGTTCATTAGTTTTCCAGTTGAACCGGCCGGTTTGATCTGGTTTTTTGTTCATTGCTTAAAATATATCATGCTCTCCCACACCCTTCCCAACATTGCTTTAATTTCTTTATTTATCTTACTATTTTTATAATATAAAATCAGTTAACTAATTTGAGTAAATTAGAGAAATTAGTTAATTATAATAAAGAGATATTGTCTTTCCTAAAATATTTTTATTGATTATGTGTATCAGTTAAAACTGTCATTTAAAGAAATCTTTAACATATGCAACTACTACAAAAACTACGTTAAAAAAAATAGATAAATATGAAAGACAAAATAGATTGAAGTCCTATATTTGTGACCAAAAATATATTAAAGTCCTATATTTATGATCAAATTAAAAGCCAAACTAATTTTTATATTAAACACTAGAAGTAGTGTTTCTCATGAGATGAAAGCCTGCTAAATCAGGAGCTAGGCTTAAGCATCTATCATCGAATTCATGGGATGTTAAGAGGATTGCAATTGCATTAATTGGCCCCACGAAAGCAACCTGAGAATGCGCGTCATTGCCAATTACCCACATGGGACTTCATAATAACTATGTCTTACTTATAAGACCTTGTTACAATTAACGAGGTACTATCCGGTTAATATAAGATCCTGTTGATTTTATTTGGTCTAATATAAGACCCTAATCCACTTTGTCTCTCCAAACTCAATTTTAAGATAATCCTTCAATAAACTAGTTCACTTGATAGTCTTTTAAGCATCACCTATTTATACACTAACCACTTATTTTCACTTTTCTTATAACCATAAATAAATCTGCTACATTTGTTAGACATGCAAGATAATGATAGTTAACCAGCGCATAGCCACATTTACGTGCCTTGCTTTGACCGGGGGAATTGACTGTTTTGTAAAACCACGAATGAGGGAGCATGGGATTGTAATTATACGTACATTACACATTAATATTTGGTAATGATAAATTTCTAGAATAATTTTAATATTATAAATATATGCTAAGGAATGTGCATGAACAGTTTTTTGAAAACAAAATGAATTGAATGGCACCGTTGTATTAATAGCGCAGAATTCAGATGCCATGAATACAGGGAAGGGGCGGTGTCCAGCTTGAAGCGGGACCATCTAAACAAGGACGGGTCCATCTCCACCATGAATGCGTCCCTTCACTAACTTTTTTTTTTGAGCTTTAACCTAATCAGTCAACTTGCCCTCCCTTTTCTATACTCTCTCTCCCTAAGCCTTCTCTCTCCTTCTTTGGCTTCTTCTTCCCTGATAAAGGCTCGTCTCTTCAATTCTTTGCCATTTTCTTCTCTGTCTTCAACCCCTGATCTTTCTTCTCGCCTCCGGAACATGTGCTTTGCTTTTTGTAATATATAGGCAACAAGGGGAAGGCATTAAATCTCGTTTCCGGGATGGGTGTTTGTTTGAGCGCCCAAATTAAAGCAGAGAGCCCATGCAACACAGGTATTCCAAATATGCAGTTCAGTTTTGATGCATGTCCATGTATGTTGTTGGTTCGCTGTTTTCCGGCCTGTAACTTTTTCGAAAATTTATACTCATCTAAATCCGTAGTGTACGTCATTCAATCTGAGCCTTTTCTTTTCCTTCTGAGAACGGATTCTTTCTGCAAATTCTTCTCTTCTCTGCTACAGCTTTTTAAGCTTCCTCCCTAGAACCTTTTGCTTCTCTTCCATCTTTTGAATGCGTTATATCTGCAAATCCACCTCTGCTCTGCCGCTTCCCTCTCGACGAGGGATGAAATCCGGTGATTCTGCTAATTAGCCTGTCCCTAAATACTGAAGATTTTTTGTTGCTCAATCAGTGATTTTTATCCAGCGATAATCCTTTAAGGCTTTCGTCTCTGTTCTCCGCAAATGAACCAATGTGTTTCGTAACCTTATATGAGCTTCAAGATCCAAGTCAAAACCTAGTGATATATAATCTTTATTGGCAGGGTTAAATTCGAAATATGTGAGCGGTGACGGAAAGGGTGCTAGCAGCGCAGGCAGCAATATGTCAGCAGTGTCGGTTCCTCAGACTCCAAGGAGTGAGGGAGAGATCTTGCAGTTATCCAATTTAAAGAGTTTCACTTTAGCAGAGTTGAAGACGGCCACCAGAAATTTCCGACCAGATAGTGTGTTAGGAGAAGGTGGCTTTGGATCAGTGTACAAAGGGTGGATCGATGAGCACACTCTGATCCCTGCCAAACCCGGGACTGGCATGGTTATTGCTGTCAAGAGACTTAATCAAGATGGTTTACAAGGTCACAAGGAGTGGTTGGTGAGTTCCAATATTTGTCTGCTTTTGCTTTTTAGTAGAGGAAAAAAAAAAAGAAAGTGCAAGAACTAGCAATAATTATAATAATGGTTCCAAAAACTACGAAGCCTGTCACACCAGTAAACGAGTTCCTTTGTTTTTCTTGTTTGTATTGCAGGCGGAAGTGAATTACCTTGGACAGCTTTCTCATCCTCATCTCGTGAAATTAATTGGTTATTGCCTGGAAGATGAACATCGTCTTTTGGTCTATGAATTCATGCCTCGAGGCAGCCTGGAGAACCATTTGTTCAGAAGTAAGGTCTCGGCGTCCCATATTTTGCAATGCGTGAATTCAAAGAGTTGTGTTCTGACCTCAACGGTATATCTTGCGGCAATTTGTAACAGGAGGTTCATATTTCCAGCCTCTCTCCTGGAGCCTCCGGATGAAGGTTGCTCTTGGTGCTGCCAAAGGCCTCGCGTTTCTTCACAGCAGCAACATAAAAGTGATATACCGGGATTTCAAGACTTCGAATGTCCTACTAGATTCAGTATGTGGCCTTCTACTTCTTCTATTGCTATTCTCAGTTAACAGAATCAATGTTCATTCATTCATT